ACAGTCAAGCAGGAACCACTGATATTTACCATGATTCCTTTACTGCTCTAGTTTGGGCTTTATCCAATCATGTTTTTCCCATGAGCTTTTCAGAGGCAGAGAATAAGATTTTCTAGCATTCTCCATACAATGCAGTGGTACCTCTATGTCAACATCATAATGGCAGAAACTTCCTATGACTGATACTAAACAAATCTACTCTGGGGGGGAAAAAAAGAATGCATAGCTTGCTTTAGACTCCACACAAATCCATGTATTCTTACCATGTAAGGAAGATGTCAAAAGAAAGGAAAAAGGCTAGGGGTGCACCGACAGAGATTTTTGGGGCCGATACCAATAGCCGATTTTTAAGGAGGCATATTGGCCGATACCAATCCGATTTTCGATACAGCTGCGCCCAGCTGGTAAGTCTGTTGTGGTGGGGGGGAGGGAAGGGGCATGGTGGGAGGGTCAGATCAGGTGAGGGAGGAGTGGGGCTGGGGCAAGCGCTGCCCAGCCGGGTTTGGGAGGGTGTAGGACAGAGCCGCGGCTCCTCTGGGAGGCGTGGGAAGGGAGGTGGTTCCCACTGCTGCACACCACTCATCCGGCAGCTTGTCTGGGAGGACATGGGGGGGTGCCCTCGAATCTGTGCGGGGCAGGGCAGGCCCTTTCTGGCAGGGGGGACTGCGCTTGTACCGGGTGACAGGCTGGGGGGGGGCTGCAGCTACCCCAAAATTTGCTGTAGACCCACTGCCCCCCTCCCAGCACCCCTGTCATCTATCCTAAGCACAGTACCACCCTGCTGGAAAGAGCCCGCTCCATGCAGATCTGGAGGCACCCCCCACATATATCCTTCCGGACGAGTGCTGGGAGCAGCGGCGGGAGCTGCCTGACTAGCTGCTGGAAGAGCAGTGTGCAGCAGTGGGAGCTGCCACCCCACCGGACAAGCTGCAGCTCTGTTCCACACCCACCCTGCCCCAGCTGGGCAGCGCTTGCACCAGCTTTTCCTCACCATGGGGGCCTTGATCTGCACCCCATGCACCTTCTGTCCCCACTCCCCTTCCACCACACCAGACTTAACAGCTGCACACGCAGCTCTCCAAGCTGCCAGGCTGAGCTCCTTGCTGCCTATGTGCTGCACAGCAGCTGCACGCATGCATGGGTCATTTATCAGGCAAATTATTGGCCACATCAGGCCAATTCCGGATACAGACAATTTTCTTTTTATTAGTGACAATCCGATCTCAGACCAATGCTTCTGTGCACCTCTAGAAAAGGCTGTTAAAGCCAAAAATCTTTGCTAACATTTTTTAAAAGTTATAAACAACTGCAACATTGCAATGCCTAATGAAATAAGGTTGGGAGAGAGGAGCTTCTCCACAAAGTTCAGTGACTTGTTTCTCTCACTGGTTGGATCAAGTTCAAACATCCACACTTATAAACAAATAAGAGACTGCCAACAGACAATGACTCTGGACAGTAACTAACTTAAATTTACATTTAAACCCTTGCAATGAGTAGAATATTGATTTCCCCTCTCTTTTCAAGGATTAGGAGTGAGATTATTCACTGGCCACTGTTGAAACTAGTTGGCTCAGAGCTTGAACCCCTTCTTAGTACGTGGAACTCTTCCAATATGGTCTGCATTGTGTGTTCCTTATAACAATCATAAAGATTGGGTTACTCATGAATCTTAGACAATTAAGAACCCTCAGGTGTGGAAAGAGAAACAGATTCTACATTTTGGTAATTAGTTTAATAAAATTCTCTCTCACAAATACTATACTACTCTACAGGAGTACACAAAAATTGTGTCCAGACTTTCAGAGTTGTCCAGAAAGTCCCAGTCATACTGAGGATGTGGGGAGAAGGAAAGGAAAAAAACCACATGGGGGGGCTTACCTCCTGCGAAGAGTCTACTCACGGATTGATTTCATCGATATTTTTATAACATCCCTTTCATACAGTTTCACAGCAAGCACTTAAACAAAATTTATACTCATGTAAACCTTCTTTGCTCCAAGACATGAAGGGAGAGACCAGCAATGATGAAATCTTTGGGACAGGTGGATAAGCAATGAAGTGACTTAAGCTGTTCAGAAGTACCTTTGCATCTGGACTGCTGAGGCTGGAATCCCATTCTGTACATCTCCTTGCCCAAACTGATTATACGCTGGCTGGCCAACAGGAAGAGGTGCTCCAGAAGTCGGAGGGGGAGCACCAGAGGTTGGAGGTGTTCTTAACGGACCTAAATATACATAGAGAGAAACTGCATAATTATTCACAGACAAGTTATCCCCAAATGCCAAAGAAAAAAATAGATTTGCCAATTATTGCACTACATTTGCACATGGGAACTATGCCTACTCTCAACTTCCACCATTGGTAGAGCATCAGTGCAACTACAAGGTTGCAACAGAGTAAGTAGTAGTGTTCACAGCACACCAGAACATTTATCCAATATGGTCTCATCCTACTCAGAGCAGATGCAAGATGACGTGGCTAAACATCAATGGTAGAAGTCCCAAGAGTCATGAATGCTCTCTGCCATATCATCTTCCTTTCAGTAGCTGTTATTAAATAACACCTTGTATGCTATTTTAAAGTCCAGCTAAGGAAAGTTTATGTAGAACCTAATGTTGATTTCAGGTCAACTTCTCAACATACAAAATTACAGAATTACATTAGCCAAAAAGCTTTAAATGATATTCTAACACTCTTT